CATTTTTGCCCACATGACGATGGAATTCAAGGCAAGTAGAGATGCATGATCACCTGTATCCAGCACTGGCAGGAGCTATGGGAAGTGTCATTCTTATTCTCCATCATCTGCAGCAAAGTCCACAACAACTGCCAGAATAAATGGCTGAAGGTAATGTCACTTATGTTACTGAATTCATTCTCAAAGGAATTACAGACCGGCCAGAGCTCCAGGTTCCATGCTTCCTGGTATTTTTACTTATCTATCTGGTCACAGTGCTAGGCAACCTGGGCTTGATCACCTTAATCAGGATTGATTCTCGACTCCACTCCCCAATGTACTTTTTCCTCAGTCACTTGGCCTTTGTGGACCTTTGCTACTCCTCTGCTATCACGCCGAAGATGATGGTGAATTTCGTCGTGGAGCACAACACTATTCTCTTCCACGCTTGTGCAGCACAGCTGGGTTGTTTTCTCACCTTCATGATCACAGAGTGTTTCCTTCTCGCCTCCATGGCCTACGACCGCTATGTGGCCATCTGCAGTCCCCTGCATTATTCAACTCGGATGTCAAGAAGAGTGTGCATCCAGCTGGTGGCAGTCCCGTACACATACAGCTTCCTGGTTGCTCTCTTCCACACCATCATCACCTTCCGTCTGACTTACTGCGGCCCCAATGTGATTAACCATTTCTACTGTGATGACCTCCCTCTCTTAGCACTGTCCTGCTCTGACACACACATGAAGGAAATTCTGATTTTTGCCTTTGCTGGCTTTGATATGATCTGTTCCTCTTCCATTGTCCTCACCTCCTACATCTTCATCATTGCGGCCGTCCTACGGATCCGCTCTACCCAGGGGCGACTCAAGGCCTTTTCCACCTGTGGCTCCCACATGGTGGCTGTTAGTATCTTCTATGGCACTCTAATCTTCATGTACCTACAGCCCCAATCAAATCACTCCTTAGACACAGACAAAATGGCTTCCGTATTTTACACAGTGGTGATCCCCATGTTGAACCCCCTAATCTACAGTTTAAGGAATAAAGAAGTCAAGGATGCCTCGCAGAAAGCCTTAGATAAATGCTGTGAAACCTTAAAGTTATTAAGAAAATGATAATATTTTATTAAATAAAAGCAGGGAAGTAATCAAACTTTTTCTTATAATTATTTCCCAATCAACTGGAAACAGAACTGTTACTTCAACAGAACTTGGCACTTTCTACAAGGACGTAGGCAGATCCTGGAAAGTTAGTGTGGCTTAAATAGTCCTGCCCAAGCCATAACAGCCTTTACAGACCACTGAAGTCATGTTCAAATACACATAGGAACACACATGTGTGTATTTCAGAGGCAGTGGGAAGTTTTTGTTAGATCTGGGACGCTGAAACCAGACTGTCTGGGTCTGAATTCTATTTCATTTATTTACTAGCTGTGCAACCTTGACCAAAACTCTATAGACTGATTCCAATTCCGGAAAATAATAGGATCTAACCCTTTTCTCTATTTTGAGGATTACATGGCTTAATATTTATGAAATGCTTAGAACGATATCTAGTGATAAGTGTTTCACAAGTGTTAGCTATATAAATGGTTATATGTAAAGTTAAAAAAAAAATTCATTGAGCTTTCAAAGGCTTATCAGTCATAAAGTAAGAAAGACAAAGCCTGCTTGGGTGTTTACTACCTGCCAGACTCTTAACCAAGTAGTCTTTCTTATTATAAGCATACAAACCTAAGGGATATGTGAAGCTTCATTTCTGAAATGTTTTACGTGACATAATTTAAAATGTTAAAATTCTAAGTGAAAATTCAAGTGTATCTAAATTTTTTTGTTTTTAACAGTGGAAGGTATTAAGAATGATGGATGTTACAAAATTAATTGGATTTCAATGTGTCATTGTTAGACTTTTACATATCATTAGAAAAACATGGTTTGTAAGAAATTGTGTTTTTAGATGAATTATATTTGCATAATTATGAAATCAGAAATAACCTTCAGTTATTATGTCATGTATCTGTGCCTGGTACTTATTCAGTCACCTTTGTGGAAGATAGCTTGTAATTTAAAAATAGTGGTTTGATGTGTTTTTACTATTTTGACATTTTAGAATAAGTCAATTAAACTAGTTATTTAATGTTATCCTATTTTTTTTAGTAATTTTACTAGAAGATTGTGATACCTGCAACTGTTATATTTAACATATTGTTAGGCTTGCCATCGAAAGTAATTATTTCTTCTTCTATACTTAAATTTTTCAGGGACTCAGATATGTGTCCTTGAAGTGCTTGTAGACCCTGGTGTATTAAATGAATTCTCTGGTTTTTAAAACAGGTTCAATAAGGCTGGGTACAGTGGCTCACGCCTGTAATCATAGCACCCTGGTAGGTTGAGGTGGGAGGTTCACTTGAGCTCAGGACGTTGAGACCAGCCTGAGCAAGAGCATATCCATCTCAACTAAAAATAGAAAAGTTAGCCTGGCATGGTGGTGGTCACCTGTAGTTCCAGGTACTCTGGAGGCTGAGAAGGGAGAATCATCTGAACCCAGGAGTTTGAGGGTGCTGTGAGCTAGCCACTCTAGCCTGGGCAGCTCTGTCTCAAAAAAAAAAAAAAAAAAAAAAAAAAAATTAAAAAAGAAAAAAACCCAACTAGTTCAATAGAAAATCCCATGTTTCTAGTCATCAAAAATATTATCTCTTGAGTGTGTGTTTATGTTGAGAGATACACACAATGTTCTCATATATCACGTATATGACAAATAGAAGTTTCACAGACAATCTTTTTACAGGTAAAGAAATTCAGGCCTATAAAATCTTGGTTCTGGGGTTTCACTGCACCTTTCTTCTTCACAGAATTATTTAGAGAAGTGATGCTTAAACACTAACTGAATTGAAGTAGTCGTGTCTTTATACATTTCTAATTCCTTTGTATTAACTTTCATGTATTAAGGTAAACCTAAGCTTTCTCGGGGATTCCAACCATTCAGGTGCACTCAGCAAGCAAGTAACTTAGCTTCTCCTTCAGTGGATACACGCAGCTCTGTGCAGCCTCTAAAACTATTTCTTAGACGTGGCTCGAGGTAGCTGGCCTCATCTCCTGAAACACCAGTGTCTCAGTTAAATCACCAAAATCAACATCATTCAGTCTTCGGGTATATTTCAATAAATATTTGTTTGTCATTCCTTAGTCTGTGATCCTTATGATTTTTTGGTTCCTGAATTTAGAGTAAAGGGGCTGATAAAAAGTAGAAAATAAATATTAGCCATCTTTAGCTGTGTCTAAGATTAGGTAGAATGTGCCTGATTTCAGAAGCTCCCCCTAGTTTTTTGTTTTATATAAAGCTCAGCTCAATTATAAAAGAAGAAACATATTCATGACACATTTACAACATGAGCATTTGGGTAGAAATATGTGTAAAGACATTTGTGCCTTGGCTGCCACTAAAGAGCCTTGGCAAATATCAGCTTTATCACCATCAGTAACACGAACCATCCCTAAATCATTTTCTTATACACAAAGTTTTTCAATTGTTTTTCGTTTTGTATCTGATCAGTAGTATACCTTGAATAAAATTATAAGCAATTTTAATTGTAAGCACATTGTTATGAAAATAATTATATTTTGTATTGAATTTTCTTTAACCTTTTTTCAATTCTTTCTTTTCTGATCAAGGGGACTTCATTGTTCTTAAAATAACAGTGCCTTTAATATCATTTGTTTTTAAATGTAATATTTGAATATTATCATCTACTCTAGATTTTCTGCACTGACAGTAGTAATAACAATAATACAATAAACAGCTGACATTTATAAACTATTTCCTCTCTTTGGCTTTATCCTAAATGTTTAGCATTTCTCACTTCAGTGTTCTTATCAGCACTACTTAGTAATCAGAGTGATTATTTATAAATTTGTAGAAGTAAAAAGGGAAACACGAAGAAAATAAACAATGTGGCTTTTTACCCAATTTAATTCCCCAGAAAAGGATAACTTAAAAATCTGAGAAGTTAAAATTCTCACCATCTGTGCAGTACTATGTGCTGCAAACTATGCAGTGTCCTTTACATTTATAGTTTTATTTAATCTTCATAATCAGCCCAGTAGATGGAAACTATGACTAACTTTTGCAGAAGAGGAAACGGAGATACAGAAATTGACCCACGATAATATCCATTCATTAGGAAAGCTAAAAGTGCTAGCCAATATGTCTAAACAGTTCATTTCCTAAGGGTGGCACCTGTGGCTCAAAGGAATAGGGCACCAGCCCCATATGCAGGAGGTGGTGGGTTCAAATCCAGCCCCGGCCAAAAACTGCAAAGAAAAAAGAGTTCATTTCCTAACCTTGTATTTCCACAGATCATGCAGTGAATTACAGTGGTGTACAGTGGAACTCATAATTAAACTGATACAGAATTTATGTTGATAAATATTTAATATCAAGGTAACTCTGTTAATGTCATCTTTCCAGCAGAATGGAAAGTTAAGTGCTAGAGAATTTATTGTCTTAAAAAAGCAAAAAAAAAAATTTGCTAATAAACTATGATATGACGCTTAAAACATTTTCCAGGTGATCTATGCAGCAAACTTGAAATATTACAAAGCCGGTATTGAACTATTTCAACATAAGCCAAATTTTTCATATCACACTGTTATTTCCCAATACTGTTTCTTCAACTCTTGATGAAGATCTCATGGCTACTCAGGATTAAGATATGGTGTCAAGGCACAATTGTAAGAGGGACTTTACCTAACAAATGCAATCAGTGTAACCTGGTTTCTTATGCCCTCAATGAATCCCCAACAATAAAAATATATCTCTCTCTCTATATATATTCTTTTACAATTCAATGATGCAGAATTCACCAAATGTCTTTTATGTGAAAACAACTGACAATGAAACAGTGGGTAAGACATACCCTGAATGGGGTTGAGCATCGAAATTGGTTCCATAATTAACCAGCATTGTGAATCTATGTAAGCTACAACTCAAAGTCTTCTCATTTCCTCCCAGCGACTTTTAGGTTATTTGATAGTCAAACACAACTTTTCTATAATTCTCTTCAGTGCGCTTTTTACATCCTGATTTCTCAAGCTATAAATCAGTGGGTTTAACATGGGAATCACAACCACGTAGAACACTGAAGCGAATTTATCTAAGTTGAGAGAATGGCTTGACTTGGGCTGCAGGTACATAAAAATGATTGTTCCATAAAACATTGTGATGCAGGTCAGGTGGGAGGCACAGGTGGAAAACGCTTTCTGTCTTCCTTCAGCGGAGTGAATCCTCAGGATGGTGAAGAAGATGAAGAGATAAGAAATTAGCACAATCACTAGAGAGCAAAGGATATTAATCCCGGCAATGATAAACAACATCAGTTCCTTGATGTGCGTGTCAGAGCAGGCCAGAGCGATTAAAGGAACGTCATCGCAGTAGAAGTGGTTGACCATGTTGGAGTCACAAAAAGATAAGCGAAACGTCCCCACTGTCTGTACGAGGCCTACGGTGAATCCATAAACATATGTGCTAGCAATCATTCGAATACAGAGTTTCCTGGGCATGAGGATGACATAAAGTAAAGGATTACAGATGGCCACATAGCGATCATAGGCCATGATTGAGAGCAAATATAATTCACACACTAAAAATGTGATGAAGCAGCATACCTGAATGGCACAGGCATAAAACGTTATGCTTGTAATTTCACGCAGAAAATTCATCAACATGTTTGGGGTGACAGATGAAGTAAAAGTAAAATCAATAGCAGCCAGATGGCTGAGGGAAAAATACATGGGTGTGTGAAGCTGAGGACTGACTTGGATTAGCACAATCAGACCGAGATTACTCACGACACTGGTGAGGTAAACGACCAGGAAGACACCAAAGAGAATGGCTTGCACCTCTGCATTTTCTGTGAGCCCCAGGAGGATAAACTCAGACACTGCTGAATGATTGCCTTTGGACATGGAGGAGGTAGACAGGTTTTATCCCCAGTAAAACTCTCCAGAGCATGCGTTCTTGTCCCCTTGGCAATGATCAAGCAGGTGTTAGGAGATGGCTCTGACCCACCATGAACTCATGTTGAAATCATAAAAGAGGCAGCCTATGTTAGTTCTGCTTTCCGAGTAAAGTGATTCATCCCAGGTAGAAATTCCAAAACAGGCAATTCTGTGGGGATATGTGAAGATGAAAATATAATACGTTAAAGTTTTATATAAGTGGCCGGGCGTGGTGGCTCACGCCTGTAGTCCCAGTGCTGTGGGAGGCTGAGGCGGGTGGATCATCTGTGCTCAGAGGTTCGAGACCAGCCAAGATCCCCCTGAGCCAAATGAGCCAGAGTGAGACCCCGTCTCTACAACAACAACAGGACAACGAGACAGCAGGACCTTG